TGTGGATTTTAAGTTACAGTGAAGGAATTTGGGGGAGATAATCAGAAACCATTTCCTGGCTCTTTGGATTCTCAGACCCTATAATACATTATCAAGGGAAGCGGTGGAATTTCCTTTCTCAGAGATAGATGGGAAACTCTTGAAAAAGAACTGCCCAAAGTTTTAGGATCTCCCTCTCTGTCCAGCCTTTTAGCCTTGCGCTCTTGTGTATTTCGAAAAAGGGAAAGGATCTCATGGGCCAATTAGACAGGATATCATCAGGGACAGAGTGATCTCCTCTTGAGCTAATAATGTTGATTTAATTTCCACCTCAGAAAACATGCCAAGTTATTTCAACATATCTTCTGTCATGGAAATGTTAATGCCAAGTGCTCTCGGATACTTGGAACAGTTGAGAAACCACTGAACATTTTAACTTGAAGTCAGCCATCACATAATGGCTAGGGAACCCAGCTTCAGGCAGGAAGATCTGAATGCAAGCATTGCCTCAGATGCCTGGTCAAGTCTCTTCACTTTTCTTTGCCCCAGGAATCTCTCCAAGATGAGATTGCAGGATAGGAGCTGTTCTGCCTTGGGAAAGAAAGTTTCTTAGTTGGTGGTTCCCTAAATCAATTAAATCACAAGTGCTGTATTCTGCTTCCTTACCTTTCTCTAGTAGCACGTATATTTGACTGCCTTTTTCTCTGTATCCTCAGCACCTACAGAAGTGTCCAGTACCTAGTAGGTACTTCATAAATGTCCATAGAATTAAGATAACATACAAGCATTTTCCTGGAAATAATTGACCCCATTTTGCTCTCCTGGGTCATGTGATTAATACTTATTTACTCATATTCATTTTTCTATTCTACCATCAAAGTATTTTAAAATAGATATCTTTTGTTCTTACGTCACCTTCATTTCCCAATATACCCCTCTTTGTCCCACTTTTAGGGAGTCATCTCTTATAACAAAGAATAAAATATAGAGAGAAAAACCGTTGAACCAAACTAATCAATGCATTAATAAGTCAAGTCAGTAAGCATTTATTAAGTACCTGCTATGTTCCAGGCACTGCACTGTCAGTCAGTTAACAAACATCTATTAAGCGCCTACAATGTACTAGGGCACTGTGATAAGCAATGAAAATATAAAGAATGGCAAAAAATAGGGGAAAACTCTGTTGTCAAGAAGCTTACTGTCTAATGGGGAGGGGGAAACATGCAAGCAACTTGGTAGAAGCAAGAGCTATCCAGGATAAATTGGAGACAATCTCCGAGGGAAGAAGTGAAGATAGTCAGTGTCCCACACCCATGATCCCTGCCTTCTACAAAGGATGGGAAGGAGATTTGCCTCCCTATATCTTTTGAGACCAGGCTTAGTCGTTATACTTAGTAGCCAATTTCATTTGTCTGTTGATGCTCTTTTCACTTACTCTCTGTAGTCATTGTGTATATTTTTTCCTGGTTCTGTTTACTTCTTTACCTCAGTTCATATGTCACCCATGATGGAAGAAAGCATTTAAAATAATAATAAGGGTACTTCATACTTCATGATCCGTGATCCCCTTGGTGGAGGTCTTATCCCCACTGATATAGATGGTAACTCCTTCATCATTTATGACATGGTTTTCAAGAATTATTTCCTTTTGTCAGCACTTCAGAGCTATGTACTTTTGTTGGGACAGGCATGCCTTCCATCAATGCTACTCTTGAACCATTGTATGATCATTGACAATTGTGGCTGATAACTTCATTCCACCCTGGGGTCATTTGAGGTACTCTGAGGGTCCAAGAGGCTGTCTGGCCCAGAACTTGGAGCATAGCCCAATGAGAAAGGAACGTTTCTTCCTGAAGCCAAAATGAACTTCTCTGAATGTTGCCAGGTTGGTCCTTGGTTAACGGAGAGCCAGTGTGATTCCAGAACCAATAAAAACTCAATGAAGAGACACCTAGCTTGTTAGAAGAGGATAATTGCTACACAAGAAGCCTTTCCTGACATCCCCCCACCCCACTTAATGCCAATACTGTACCGTATCGAGTATCTCCTATTTATTCTACATGTCTAATTTATACATAATTGTTTGCATATCTATTACACTGTGAGCCCCTTGAGGAAAAGGAATGTTTTTTTTAAACTTTCTTTATATCCTTTTGTACTCTTTTTTGTGTTTCTTTGTAGCACTTAGCACAATGTCTGGCGCTTAATAAAGGTCCTTAATAAATGCTTGTTGACTGACTAACTTATATATGCATATTCATATAACTTTATAGTTTACAAAGCACTATACAATATCACTGCTATTATTTTTGAAATATTTTAAAAGATGCATACAAAACTGTGACGTACAAGTAGACTTGAACTTTAGGCCTATTTTAATAAAATGAAACTAAATAGGGATTAGTATCAAGTCCTACATTTGGGTTTAAAAAATTGAGTTTTCAAGAACCAAATGAGAGAGACATGGTTGAATAGCAGTTCATCTGAAAATAGATCTGAAGGCTTCAAAGGACCACAAGAGTAGTATGAGTCAGCAATGTGGCACATAACTAGGAAGCCTTGTATGATTGCAGGTTGTCTCCCCAATGACAGCGTTTGCTCTGTCAGTTCATATGAGGGAGCTGGAGATGATGACCTCTGAGATTCCTTCTAACCCTGAATCCTATGATAAGTTGTAGAGAGCTTTGAGGAGACCCACCAGGATCACTCTGTACAAGGACCAGTTGAATAAATTGGAGCAGGTCTGGCCTAGAAAAGGGAAGGCTTGGGGCAACATGCCATATATTTGAAGGGTTACCACGTGGAAGACAGATCACACTTGTTCTGTTTGACAGAAGAGAGAAGAGCTATGAACATCAGGTAGAAGTTAGAGTGAGGCAGATTTAGGCTTCTTCAAATCAATGAGCCTTTATCAAGCATCTGTTGTATGCCAGGAACTATGGTATGCATTGAGAATACAAATACAAACAAACAAACAAAAAGCTTACATTCTAATGAGGAATGACAGTACATAAAAGGGAACAGAGACATCGTCAAAGGGGAGGTGCCCGTTGCCAGTCATGGTGGTGAAGTCTAGAGAAAGAAGGCTGGCTGGCTTGGGAGCTTCCTCAAAATGGAGGGTAATTCAGAAATTCAGGTAGAAAGGGGAGAAGAAACAAGTGAACCATGAGGGTAAAGTCCACAGAATGGAAGGAGAAAACTTCCTAACAGATGTTGCTCTTCCCAAATTGATTGAATTACCTTTGAGATTAAGGGTTTCTCCACAATTAGGGGTTTCTCATCACTGCCTTAATAACAAGTGACTGGCCACTTACTGGACATGTTGTAAACAAAGGTTCTGGTAGCTAGTGGATGGGCAGGTCGCTGAGGTCCCTTCCATTACTCTACCGTCTCATTTGAGCTTCACAACAGGCCTGCCATGTGGGGAGGAGGCGAAAGGATTGCTATCTCCATTTTACAGATGGAAACAACCTGAGGTTCAGAGAGGTTGAGCGATTTACTCAAAGATGCACAGCTATAAGTGCCAGTCTTCTGACTCCAAGTGACTTCTCTATGGCACCATGATATATATACATTTGTATGTACATACATATGTGTGTATGTGAGACTTGTATATATATATATACATATATACATATATGTATGTGTATATACATATAGAACCTAAAATTAAAACCATTTCTAAGATGGTTTAAAAATTCAAATATATAGATATGTTATATATATAGATGTACATACATATGCACAAATGTATGTATACATATACATTATATATAATTCTTTCTAAAACTCTTTAAAAACTTAAATATAGAACCTAAAATTAAAATAGTTCCTAAAATGGTTTTAAAATTCAAACATACATATATATGTATATATATACATACATATACACACACATATATAAACTGTTTCTACAATAGTTTCAGAACTCAAATATATGTGTATGTGTATGTGTACATATATTTATACATATATAGTTTCTAAAAAAATTTAGAAACTCATATATTATATCTGCGTGTACACACATACATATACATATATAGATAGATAGATAGATAGATAGATAGATAGATAGATGATTGATAGATAGATAGATAGATATAGTTTCTAAAACTGTTTTGAAACTCCAATATAGAGTAGTATCAGAAAGTTATATGGCTTGTCCAAGGCCAAAGTAAAGCATATTCAAGGACAAAGTTATAATCATAAGGAAGTGTTCCCTACTCCTAGTACTATGCTCTGAGTCTTGGGTTGGGCTGAGTGTCTGAAAGAAGAAATGGGACTAGGAAAAGGAAATGCCAGGAATAGCTGGGTTCAAGTTCTGACTGACTTATATTGACTGTGTAATTCTGAGTCAGGCATTTCTTCACCTGTTATTGCCTCAGGAAACTTTCTAAGATGCTAAGTTTTAGAGGCATCACTAATATGTATCAGTGGAATGATTTTCTGCAGGGAGAGTTTCTAATTCTGATGAAATCACAGGCTAAGACTAGAGAAGGGAAGGAAGGAAAGAAGAAAGAAAGAAAAAGAGGGAAAGAAAGAAAGAAAGAAAGAGAAAAAGAAAGAAAGAAAGAAAGAAAGAAAGAAAGAAAGAAAGAAAAAACTCTTGGGTATTGAGTAGAAGTAGCTAAATCCAATTCACGCACAAGTCAAGATATCACCTCGTGATGTCATTGGTCCTCTTCAAAAATGTAGGACAGCCACCACCCCACTACCACCATCAATAACAAGAAGCAGGATCATAGATCTCTACTTAGAAGGAGCCTTAAGGCCATGTAGACCATCCATTTTCCTCATTTCACAGATGAGGTACCTGAAAGCCAGGGAAATGAAATTACTTGCCCAAATTCACAAAGATTGATAAAAATCAGAAATAAAATTTGAACCCAAAGACTGACTCTCAGGCCAAGGTTCTTTCCACTTGGTACACCAACATTCAGAAGGGCCTGCTGAAATGTGTATATAAAGAAAAATTAGTTTCCTTTTAAAATTTAACTCTATTTTTATTTTCTTTCTGTAAGGATTTCCTGTCAACATATGTGTGGAGAGTATTCTCAGATTACTGAGTGCCTGGATGGGATCAGAAACAAATCTCATTGGACATACCCACTTGTCTTCTTCAGAAGAATTTTCTTTCCTTGAGAATTCTCATTTATATGGTAAGTTGTAAAATGACTTTGAGTCTTAACTAACACTTTGGGAATGCCCAGTGGGATCCTTGAAGATGTCGTCTCGTCCCCTTGGGTGGTCTTCCATTTGGGAGTCATAGAATTTTAGACCTTGAAGGAACATCAAGGTCATGTATGCCAACCCATTCATTTTATAGATGAGAAAAGTAGGGGTGCCAGAGGCTAAATGATTTGTCCAAGGTCACACAGTTGATTAGGAGTACACCCAAGAGTAGAATGCTGTTCTGACTCCCAGCCCAGAGCTCCTTGCAATATCATCCTAAAGGAGTTTGAAGAATGCCTCCTCTGTTAGTAATAACACTTACAGTTTAATATGATGCCAATTAAAGGCTCAGATTATCTGTAATAAACTTCTCCTTGGCAATTCTCCATTATGCTGATTGAAGATGTTCATTGTGCTGCTGAAGGAAACTATAGTGACTGAGTTGGATTAGTCATTTCAGTCAAACTGAGGACACTTTGTACTAAGTTGTTAGCAGTACATCGGTAAGTAAATGATACCACAAAATATGTTGCTATACTTTATATACTTATAAAAGCACCTCATTATTTTTTTCAATTAAGAACATCAGCAAAAAAGCAAGGGGTGGGGGAGATTAAAAATAGGAGCAGTCTTAAAGATGCTTCAAATCATAGGACATAAATAGATGACCTCTCACCTTATTTATATGTGAGGCCAGCCCTGATGGCAGCTTACATTTCCCTGTCTTTCTTTCTCCATAAGCATATTATAGATTAGGGTTCTTAACTTGCGATCCATGGATCCTTTGATTTCACGGGGTCTATGAATATGCCATCTTTATATTCACTAACTTCTAATTGCAAGTTAGCATTTTCTCCAGTTATGAATGTAGGCAACAAACTGCAGTAGTATTAGGGTCCATAGACTTTAACAGACTGCCAGAAGAGTCCATGACTCAAAAAAAAGGTTAAGAATCCTTGTTATAGACCATGGTAGACAGATTGATTACATCTTTGATTTCATGAATAGAGATATTCCCTCCAATGGCAATTCCCACACAAGCCTTCTCATCTTGGGTGACCCTTGCCAATATCTATGCTCTAGAGCCTTCATTAGGCTTCAGTTTTCTTATCAGTAAAATAAGGAGTTTGGACTAGACCACTTCTAAAGATGTTTTCAACTTCAGGACTATGACTGTATGATCTCTAGACATTACTTAGAGGCCGATGGAATGCTGACTTATCCACTGGCTATCGTTCACCTTTAATTCATGACTGGCCCATCTTCTCTTCTGTTAATACCCTTTATGCTACTTCATCTGCACAAGTATGTTGATGATATGCTGTGACTTACTCATGCCTGACATATGTCTCTTTATTGCCTTGTGAGTGACCTTTGACTTTAATTCTTCAGAGACCGTGATGTTCCATGCCGCCTGTGGTGTGACAGATAGAGTGTTTGACTTGGTGTCAGAAAAAACTTGGTTCAGTTTTTGCCTCTGATGCTATGTGACCACAGACAAGTCACTTATTATCTTGGAGCCTGTTTCCTCATCTGAAAAATGAAGATAATAATACTTACAATACCTAATTCACAAGGTTATTGTGAGACCCAAATGGTATAATACATGGAAAATGCTATACGAATAATAATAACTAACATTTATATAGCAATTTAACAAGATATTGTACATATATTATTTCAAACGATCCTCACGGCAATCCTGTGAAGTAGGTGCCATTACTACCCCCATTTCACAGATGAAAAAACTAGGTCTAAGAAAGACGAAATGACTTGTCTTGGGTAAGTGTCTGAGAGAGGATGGATTTGAACCCAGGTCTTCCTGACTCTAAGTCCAGTATACATTAATATTTATTCATCCTGTATAATATTTATATTTGGACTTCTGATCTCCCTCATTAGAATGTGTGGGTATGTTTTACAACTAAGGATTTTTTTTTCTTTTTTAAAACTTGTATCCCCAGCAACTGGGACAGTCTTCGATACAGGTTGAATAATGATTGATTGCTTTCTGGACCCAGTTCACTGTTCATTCTCTCTCTCTCTCAATACATATATATTATACATATATGTACATATAAATGTATGTATATGTCTATATTATGTATATTATATATACACAAATGTGTGTAAATATCTGTTTACATACACATAATATAATATAAATACACAATATGTATATCTATGGTCTTCCAATTGCATACAAAAGACATTTTTCATCCACTTGGTTGTTCCTGTGTGTACTGTTAGGCAAAATTCTTTTGAATGATTATATGTAGTGAGAACTTGACTGAACTCCTGGGGCTATTCCAGCTGTTGTGGCTATAGTCCTGTCTCTGCCCAGCCCCTTGGCTCAGTCCCAGCTACTGCTTTGTAGCCCTGATGGTTTGGAGTTTAAAATGATTGCCCTGAAGGTTCAAAAAGTTGTTAGGAATATTTTCCTGAGCTCAAACTATCTATGGTATGCTACCTTCAGTTCCAGACTTTGAAAGGACAGTTGTGTTTCATATCCTTTTTATTCTTGTATTATGCATTTTAAAATTTCAATTAAAAAGTAATTTTAATTGGATTTTATGATTCAATAGTGACTAGTACATTTTAACAACCTCAAAAAACCTTGAACCTGCTGAATCTTGCCAAACTTAGGCTTAGCTCACAGTATCATGGATCTCAGTCAGTAGGTTTAGTGGAATTCCAGGGTTTGAGAATGCAATCAGCCTATTGTCATTTATAAACAGGGGCAACTGAAAGATCTCACCATTTATAGTGAAACCTCTCCCATTTGGTCCCTACGTGGGACATACTTCATGGTGGTTGGTTGCCAAAGGCCAATGTTTCACTAGATGCTGATAATGAGACACTCTTTGAACAAAGTTATCTCCACTGTCACCTCTTTCCAGGAATCTAATATGAGCTTAACAAATGCTTGGTAAACAACTTGCCTTTGAGGCAACATTTTGTGCAACTGAATCAAATTATTTTCAAAGTTAGTCGGCAGACACAGTATGTTCTTGTATTCTTTGAACCTTTCAGCTAATTGTGTAACTCTAAAGATGTGGCCTGCTGCAGAATGTTGTTTATGAAAGGTTACTTGTACTCTCTCCATTTTATCAAGGATATCTGCGATACACACGTGTAAATTATTCTCACAAATATTCTCAAGGTTGAACAAATAGACATGGGGTTGGGAGTTATTGGCATTTTATCAATTCTCTCTCTCTGTCTCTTTCTCTCTCTCTCTTTCAATCTCTCTATTTCTGTCTGTCTCTCTCCTCTCTCTCTCTCTCTCTGTATGTGTGTGTGTGTAGATACAGATATTTATAGTGACTCTTTTTGTACGGCAAAAAACTGTCAACTTAAGGGGATGCCCATCAATTGGAAAATGCCTAAACAATTTTGGTATATGAATGTAATGGAATACTATTGTGCTAAAAGAAATAGTGAAGGGGAATTGTTTTTAAAGAGAAATAGAAAGACTTGTATGAACTGATGCAGAGTAGAGTGAGCAGAACCACTGAGAAGAACCATTTACATTATAACATCAATGGGACAGTCATCTAACCTCTCTGATCTTCAGTTTTCTCAACTGTAAAGAGAAATATGCTACCTCTCCCATGACCTCTCCCATGTACCTATGTCCATGGCCTCAAAGGGCCAAAGCAGTTAAGTAATAGAGATTTTCAATGCCAAAAGGTTGGCCACAGCAACTCACAAAGGGTTGCCATGCTGAGAGCTGTTCCAGTAAAAACATGTCCACACTTAAGAAATCCAAATTTTTAAAAAGAAGAGAATGATCTCAGAGACCTGTTCATTTGTAATCATTCTAATAAATGAAGGGAAAAATATTGTGAATTTTAAGGAAACAGCAAATATCACACCTGATAAGAATTGTAGAGATCATTGAGTCTAACCCTCTTATTTTATAGAGCAGCTCTTCTTAAACTGTGGGTAGTGACCCTAGATGGGGTCACGTAACTGAATGTGGGGGTTGCAGAAGATTTGGTAATAGTGAAAGGTTTCTGAATGGTGCGATGACCTAAAATTAATTGAAAATCAAAAGTGTAGTGAATCCGAGGTATTTCTGGCAGCATTTGCCTATGTTGTATCAAGCAACTTCACTGTAGCCTTGGTTGTGAACACACAACACGAGCTCTTTGCCCTGCCATGCCATCGTGCCACATAACACCAATGAACGTTGCCAGAAACACCTCAGTTCAGATTTGAGACTATTGTATGTTATATATTGCAGTGATTAAATCATTACATGAAGTTTGGCTCGGGATTAGGACAGAATTTCCAACAATTTCTGAAATGGCCGTAAACATACTTCTGCCATTTTGTATTACATATTTGTGTGAAGTGGCATTCTCAGCATTGATGATTATAAAATCAAAATATCAATCAACTCGGAAAAACATTAAAGATGCTCTACGTCCTGCAGTATCAAATATTCCACTAAGATTGAATTCTTTATGTAAAAATAAACAAGCACATCATATCATTAGTAGGCACGTTTGCTTTCATCTTTAATAAATGGTAAAATTATGTATATATATATATATATACACCAAAGAATTGTTTCAAAATAAATTTATGATTTATTATCAGTAAATGTTTGCTTTGTGTACCTATTTTATATAGCTATATACCCAAGGTCACGTGAAAATTTCTCAGGTGAAAAGGAGTCGTAAGTGGAAAAAATTTAAGAAATCCTGTTATAGAACGAGGAATTGAGGCCCAGAAATGGGACATGTCTTACTGAAGTCACACAACAAGTGAGGAGCAGGGCTAAGTCTAGGATGTAGGCTTTCTGGTTCAGAGTCCAGTGGGTTCTTGTGTAGCACAGCAACTTTTCAAGGAGCCAGTAAGAATTTTTCCTTTGAGGAAAAACAGAATCAATAGCCTGGAAAGAGAATAACCATATACTTTCCAAGGAATTCCCAGCAGCAGCCCTCTTCCCTTAACATCGTGGCATGTTATCTTCCCT